GTCGGTAGGACTGGTTAGGTCGGCTATGTTTGGTTAACATTGTTAATAGACTGATCCTAGATCCCTGGCGAGAAACTCTTGTGAGCAGAGCAATGTTGGACTATAGAGCATATGGTAAACTATTGTAACTTGATAGGCAGATCGCTCCTTATCGATGAGAGCCTAAGGGATGATTAATATTTTTTTGCTGTGTTGTTAATTCTTGATCTCCGATAAGAAGACTCGAGGGTGTCTTTGGTGTATTGTATTGGACAACATTCTTATAGTGGTTAGTCCATATGCCTTTTTGTTTTATTTCAGTTTGAATGGTTCAGGCTTAGATCCCTTTATTGTCTTCTTATCTTCCTAGTAGCTCAATTGATTTTTGCTTTGGTCAGGATGACTACATCCGGTTGGCTTCAATCTTGGTTCTGCCAGCTATATTAGTTCGACTATGGCTTTAGCTCAGATGGCTGCATCCAGTCTGATAAGTGGACCTCTTTGTTGTCTATCTATGGGCCTTCATTTGTCATTTTTTGCTCTTCTTGACCATTGGATCTCCTCGTGATCAACACATACAGAATTTTGATGTACATATTTTAGTTTTTTGATTCTCTTATTTTTTAAAAGCAAAACTGTGATAAGAATAAGAGAATTTAATGAAAAAATATATGACATTTATTTTGAATCAATAATTGAATAATTGAACTCTCTCGATTTTCATGCTTTTGCTTCTTATAAATAAGGCTTGACAAGACTGACATTTTATATTTGCTCTACATTCTTTTTCGTTTGAATCGTTCGGTACCTGAATACTGTAATGGAGAACATTTCAAATTCTCTAATCGAAGTCCCCAACAAAGATTTGCTTTGTGTTGCCTTCGGAAGACCATAGGAGCATTGTCACTCGAAAGGTGAGAAGCAAATGAAAATTATTGTTAAGAAAAGAAAAGTGATTGCACTGGTAAAACAGGTGGGGCCATCTGATTCGTTCCTTATACCAGACGAAGGAACATTCAAACAACCGACCCGACCATCGTTCCGCCAGCTCAACTTTCTGTTGTGGTACAAAATTGACCTGAAATAGAGGCCAAATAAGAAATTGTTGGTGCTTTGGTGCTACATGGGATGTAAGAAACTATTGGCGCTCTAGCACTGAATGGGGCGCAAGAAATTGCTAGCGTTCCAACATCACCCAGTGAGAGCGGTATGTCGATTACAAGTTCTGAGTTTGATGAACTCCTTGGTATGAGGCGGCTAGGTTGTGGCATGTATCAATGTACATAAATGCGACCAAAAGTTTCTATAAAAAAATAATACACTATATATATATATATATATATATAAATAATAAATGACAATCAATGAACAATTATGCACTTTTAAATTGCCTTAACGTATAAATCTATTTAGTGGTATGTTTAGTGTAAAGAGTTATAGTCATAGATTTTTAGAAGAAAAAAAAAATTCAACTTAAAAGAAATAACAATAAAATGACGGTGGTGGCGGCGGCGATGATAATAATAATAATAGTAATAATGTCTATTTTTAATTGTATTTTTTATCATTCCCCCTCTTTTTTATCTCCCTCTCTTAGTCATAGATATGTTTGATATTGGTCAAATAATTTGTTTAATTTGATACCATTTTTTATAAAAAAAAATACCTTAGAGAAAGCAATAATTATCCTTTACTTTGAAAATAATTTTCTCAAGAAAATATTAGGCAAATATTCTTAAGTGAGAGTAATAAAAACAATAATAACATAATATCAAGAACTCAATAATCTTATATTATGTAATGTCTAACATAATAAAAACAAATAACCTCATAATTAGGGGCAGAACCAGCCTCTTTAAGAGGGAGGCAATCTACCATTCTAGATTCAACGTAGAAGGAGCTAGAATCACGAATAACAAAGTGATACTTCAGGAGGAACAAAATTAATATTTCAGAAGGGACAAAAGACCAAATTATTATCCCATATAAGGAAAAAATTTGAATTTGAGGGCTCTTGAACCCTACGATGGTCTGCCCCTGTTCATAACTCTTATTCCTAACCTTCTAACTCATTAGCTGACTTTCGATTAATACACTTTTATATTACTTTCTATAACATTTTAGTCAAAAGCCTTATTTATAGGTTCTTTCATCTTATTTCTTTTGTTATATATAACTTGATTGTGTAATTATTATTGTAGCTCTTACATTTGCTCCACATTTCTTATTCTCTTCTTATTTAATAAAATTAAGCTAATCATAATCGTTTTTGAAAAAAGGAAGATATATATATATATATATATATATCCGACAC